TGCGTGTGGAGAGAAAGGAACAACCGTTGCTTCGAAGACCAAACAAAGACAAGAGAGCAGATAAGAGAAACATTTTACTTTACTTTGTATTCTTGGTTTAATGCTGTGGCTAGAAATTCTGTAGATGGGTTGCCTAATTTCATGTTTTTCCTTAATAGCTTAAAGTGATTGTACACCTCCCGTGTATTCTCTTTTAAGTAATAAAATTATTTGATTACCTATCAAAAAAAAAAAATTCTACTCAATGAGATGCTTGCTATTTCACATTCGCATCAAACATGAAATTATACACAAATTCTCTTACCAATGTAAAATGAGAATTATCACTGTATTATCACACCATGCAAATGATAATTCTAGCAAGCTCTGCAAAATAACGTGAATGCTAACTATTACCCGTAGGTATGCCTTAAAATGTATCATTCCTGAAAGAGCCATGAACTGAGGTAATTAAATTCATATATAACGACGTATTTGAAAAAATATGAAAAAATCACTAATAGCACCGAGCATCTCACATTTTGGAGATGAATGTGAAGAACAAAATTGTGGAAACAAGATTGTTTATTGCAAAATTCAAAGACTTAACAATATAGAGAGAAATAGAGAGGGGGGGGGGGGGGGGGGGGGGGGGGGGGGGGGGAGAGAGTGGCTACCGGGTAATTTGTGGCAAACATATATGCACGGCGTCGGTATTTATAGGTAATCTTAGGGTAGTTTGTTTAGGATTATCATTGTACCATAACCAATTATTTATTATCTTGGATTATGTAGATAATGACTAATTGATTAGTTCAATTGTATTAAATATCAAATACATACAATACTCGCATGACGTGTCAAAACGTAAATGATTTTCCTAAATTAATTAAGAATTAAATTCTAACTAAACCACAAACTTAAATCGTAGTTCAATTGAATAACTGTGTGGTGATAAGCCCAATTAGTTTAAGATAAATATAATATATTCATATCATCAACTTTCAAAACATCCTAGTCAAATTGAATAACCTTAATTGAATTTGTGATAATTCATTTCAACATCCTAGTCAAATTGAATAGCTTAATTGAATGTGTGATAATTAATATCAACATCCTAGTCAAATTAAATAGCCTTAATTGAACGTGTGATAATTAATATCAACATCCTAATCAAATTAAATAATCTTAACTGGATTTGTGATAATTAATATCATTAATCATGTTTATAGCTATTTTACTTTTTCAAAAACTGTACTGCTAGAAAAGTCATGGAGGAAAGGAATATGTACACTATTTCATTTACAATTTATTTATTTCCACTTTGATCCCTCAACCATTAAGGAAAATCATATAGATGCAAATTAACTATTAGGCATAACAAATTGACTTGCATAAAGACTTACTAGACATGACATTCCTATTAATTGGCAAGTAAATTATATGCAACACAACTAGAAAAATTTGGGGTTCTACATAGAAACATCTTCAAGTGCTCATAGGTTCTAATGCATATTTTTCTGTGATTGAAACAGTTCCATCCAATTGGCAGATGCATGGATTTGATATTCCTATTTATACAAACGTCATATATCCATTTCCGTTGGATCCTCCCAGAGTTCCTGAAGACAATCCCTCTGGTTGCTACAGAACTTACTTTTACATTCCTAAAGAGTGGGAAGGTGAGTTTTAATCGGTACATGTCGATACTAATAGTTGATCATGAAATTTCCGGACAAGTCAATGCTTCCCATTTTTCTCCTTCAAAACAAAATTCATTAATAGGAGAAGTAGATAACAAGATTAGAGGGCAAGACATTCTTAGGTACAAGCAAAATCAAACAAACAACTGAATCCAATTCTGTTGCATGTCTATTAGAGCTTGACTGACCAGATGCTGTAGTGCATAAGGAAGATAGGTTATTTGCTCTACCATGAATATAAATGGTTGCAAGATAATGACCCAGTAGAATTCTATTCCTTGCTACCCGAATTGACCAAATAACTGCCATTAGCTGCAAACCAACACAGTTGGGCATTTATTCATTTTCTTCTCCTCCATCAGGCCCTCTCTCAAAGCACACAATTTGATATTCATAATTTTATTTGGATGTCAACCATATCATGCAATGCATCTATGGCGTTTTACAGGTCGCAGGATATTTTTACATTTTGAAGCAGTTGATTCTGCCTTCTTTGCATGGGTAAATGGACGCCTCATTGGATATAGGTTTGTCATGCATTTTCTTAAGCACTTACTATATTTTGTTGTAAATTTCCCATTTCACTTTGAATTTGCCCTTTCCATCAATGTTACCTTTTATCCTTCCATATGTGGTTGAAGATAAGGGTTATATCTGATAAAATCTGGCTGATGGCTTGGAAAGGACTTATCCTGTGGGATTGCTCCCTTTTTACTCGTACCATATGATCTCATTGGACCTCATTTACTGATACAAGCATATATGAATCCTGAAATCCTCAGACAAGAGGTAGTAGTTGTAAATTTTCCTATGGGACAAAATGAGTGGAGAGAAGTGGATGATAGTCATGATATCATGCTATCAATAAGAATTATACATCGTTAGGTCAAAACTTGATTGAGGGATTAATTTCTTTGTCTATTAACATGTTATTGCACGAATTGAAACCTGAGAGTATATTTCTAATTCATGAACCCTAACAATGATCCAGAATAAATAAGTCGATGTAATGGCACTTTTGAAAAGTAAAAATGAATAGTTCTCAAAGTGAAAATGATTTTTGAGCAGCCAAACGCTAATATTTCATTAGTTTTTCATTTATTGTGATGATTATGAATAATTTACAATGCAAAGAAATTCATAACCCTTTTGTTGTTAGGACATCACCTACAAAATTGTGCATAAAACAGACAAACACGGATAAGGAACGATTATATTGAACATTGCATGTTGGATTTGTCCAAGTGAGAAGTGTCATAATGGTGTTTTCCTACAAACAATCATATTAGTCTTTTAAAGGGATTGTTTTTAAGCTACAAGAAGTGTGTCATTTTCTAGTCACTGATCATTTATAAAATGTATGCAGTACGAAGCTTCAATTCCAACTTTAGTGGCCACAGAATATGAGTTGGGCTAACCATTCATTCCGTAGTGTTTCTAGTTTACTCAAAGGTCAGATTTCCCATTGTTTTTAGTTAGGGTGGTATCTTCTGGTCCGTTGTCTCCACCTTTCTGTACATATGTAGAAACTTACAGAATTTTAAGTATGTCTAAATTTTGGAATGCGTTGCCGGTTCCACTTAGATTTATGAATTTGTGGAGCCGGGTACAAAATTTGGTTAAAATGGAAAGATTAAAAGAAATTCAAAAGGCAGCTACCACTTGTTCTGATGATATCTATATTTTGAGTCAACTCTTTTTGTCCCTACTGCAAGCAATACAGATATATCTTTATACATATGTGCATGGTTACCATTACCTGGAGAGAAAGGCACATGCAAATCCTATACGATTTTATCTTCAATAGAAATTATTTCCTTTTAAGTAGTTTTGGTATTTTGTTGCTGATAAGATCAGATAGAGTTTGTAGGCTTAATAGGTTTTAGACTGGACACTCAGGACAACAAAAGATGAGCTTTGGCATCGGAAAGGCTAAATATAGAGCTTCTGTGGATCTCCTTCTTCTTCAAGTTTTTGTACTTGACCAGGGGATCGCATGAAAATAGGCGAGTTGCATGGAAAAAGGGGATCCACGCGCTTTCATTTTTTTGATTAATTTTGCAATAAGCACCAATTTTCTTATGATTTTAATCATTCTCTATTTGGCTGGGTTAGTTAGAAGTTGCTGCTACTTCAAACGTGTTTGACTACTATACTTTTTAGTATTGATGAAGCCATCTTGGTCCAGAGTGTTGTAAGATGAATATTTTAGTTCGTAAAACATTTTCTTTGTGTTGGGTTTCATTTATAGTACAGAAAACAAAATTATTTTCTTGCGCTAGCTAACTTTTTTTCTTATCTTGTCAGTCAGGATAGCAGACTACCAGCTGAATTTGAGATCACAGACGTTTGTTATCCCAGTGGATCTGACCAGAGGAATTCTCTTGCCGTTCAAGTATTGCGATGGAGTGATGGTTCTTATCTTGAAGATCAGGACCACTGGTGGTTGTCGGGCATTCATCGTGATGTCCTCCTTTTTGCTAAGCCTAAGGTTTGTATTCTCCTGTTGTCTCTACAGGTTTTCTAGATAAAAAAAAAAAAAAAAAGAGTAATTTCTGGAACTACCTTTATGTGGAAACTTTTGTAATAATTCAATATTCATTTATATATGAGAATGTATTCTTTTCCCATGTCAGTGCTTACAATTCAATTCTCTTTTATGCTTTGTCTGGTTCAATCTCTTTTCTGGACAGTGATCTTTGTCAGTTGGAAATTTCTTGCCAACAAAAATATCATCAAAAGATTGACATCAACCACCTTGGGAGAGTGTTCCATGGGATAATAGATATCAATCAGTGCTCCCATTCTTTCTTATGCAAAACTAGTGTTCTTTTAAATCCTTGCTTAGTTCACCTTCCAACTGATACTCCCCCTGATCCTTGCAGGAACTGAATTCGCCTGAAAAATTTGCACGTCTTTGTACAATTTCCCTTCCTCAAAATGTTGAGATCCTGATACAAGGATTTCATACTGGGGAGGGATGTAGATTATGTGGCATATGAATTTATAATGGGCTAGGGATGATTTTTTCTTGAAAGCATCAGGTTTTAGTGAATTTTTTGGAAATTTTGGAAATAGACATTAATAACTTCAAAAATTATGAAACACTGCTGTTTATATTGCTTATGTTGTAGGAAACTTGTGGGGTCTATTATTCATTATTGTTATGCATACAATTCTTTTGGGGGGTTGGGGTGGTTGAAGGAGGGGTACGAAGAAAGAGCGACATTGTTGAAATTGTAGAAAAAGGAAGCTCGCAAGAAGAGAGAAAAAATATGAATCCTAGGTAGGGAAAAATACATCACACTATAATTTCTTGAGAATAAGAAATTGCACGTTTATTTGCTGAGTTAAAAGAATAAAATAAAGCAAGGACCCAAAATCCAAATGCGAAACCAAGGGTATATAATAACTGACCGCTAAATAATATTCTAGACCAACTGCTGCCATTCGTAAACAAGTGAACAACATATTAAGAAAATAATATGACCCATGGACTCTGTGAACTTTCCATTCTTATTTTTTTCTCTCTGTCTGTGTTATCTTGTTTACCAATGGTATATAAGAAATTCAAGTGATCTACTTGGAAAATGAATGTGCAGGTTTTTATTGAAGATTATTTCTTCAGATCCAACTTAGCTGAAGATTTTTCTCATGCAGATATACAGGTAATGATAAATGGCATAACAAAGTTACACCAGAATAAGAAAAGCCAAAAAAATACACCATAAAATCAAATGTATTGCACATGAAAGAGATTTTAAAAAATGGAAATAATGACAATCTGAATCCAATTTCTCTTTTTAATTCCTAGTAACACGAGTGAAAAATATTTCTTTTCCCTTTTTGCTTTTTATTTTTTTTCACCGTAGAAGTCCTGGAATTTTTCTGACTATCTTCATATTTGAAATATTTTCAAATTTTATCTGCTTGGCATGATCCAACTATTTGGTTCTAACTTAAGAGAAAAGCTATACCTTCAACTTGCAATCAAAATCCTCTAACCCTGTTTTAAAATGTAATGTGGCAGTTTGAAATCAAATTCCTGATTGCTTTTGCTAGAAACTTTCTTAAGGTTAACTCATTATTATAATGAAGACCTTATGTTGCAAAAATGCTGAGTTGGATATTTATTTTTTGTCAAATTCACCATCCAGGTTGAGGTGAAAATCGACAAGTCAGCAGTTAGTATTCACAACGCAACATCTGAAGATAAGTTTACGGCGAACTTCACCATTGACGCTGAAATTTTTGACACCGGGAGTTGTTATGCGGGCAATGGACACGTCGATCTTTTATCTACGAATGTGGCCCATCTACAGATGACTCAATCTGTCGATTATATTCTTGGATTCATAGGGTATCATCTTTCAGGGAAAGTGCAGATGCCCAAGCTTTGGTCTGCTGAACAAGTAAAATTTTTCTCTCACATGATATGTTTGCTGCATTCCTCTTGGTTCAAATGTTAACTATTTTCCCTCTGGAGTCCCCCTTTCTGCAAGTTTTCTGGACATGTAATCTTCTAGCTTTTTATACAAGGACATATAATTACATTGTGTTTTAATGAAAAAGAGGGACAATTTTGACTAGTACATGGTGTTTTATAAAACACATCATAATGGACCCTTCACACTAGTGGAAATTGTTTGGAGCAATTTTGCACTTATAATTTAGCTTGTAATTTATTAAAACTTAACGACACTTACCTAAAAAATTATATCTAAGTGTGAGAATTTTAAGCTATTAGATGGTCATTCACAGAGACGGATTTAAGAGGGGGGGGGGGGGGGGGGGCGGTGGCCCCCCCCCCCCCCCCGGCCCAAGGGTTTTTTTTTAAGGTTTTTTTTTTTTTTTTTGGTAAAAAACCAATTTTTTATGTTTAATTTTTTTTTTTCCACATAGTAGCCCGGTTTGAAATTTTATAGCTCGGTCTTGGATCCAATTCTGAATTCGTCTCTGGTCATTCAATATTCAATATGGTATCAAGGAGATAAAGATCCTAATAGCTCGGGCTTGGATCCAATTCTGAATTCGTCTCTGGTCATTCAATATTCAATATGGTATCAAGGAGATAAAGATCCTAGATTCCACTCTTTCTATCACCCATTTATGAACATCCAGTGTAGTGAGTCTTCAAATAGGAAAGGAATATGGCCTACACATAAGTAGGCGTGGCGTGTTCAACGTTTTTTTTGGACCCTATCTGTTGTATGTACTCTCATTCCTCCTTTTGGCCTCGGGTACTATTGTTCCCCAAAGTGACGTACCCCACCCCCACCACTCTTTACCAAGAGCTTATGAGTGCATCCTGGTATGACGATGCAACTATATAGAAATAAATTATATCTTCTCTAATAGCTTAAAGTTTTAGATGAGATGGTGATATTGTTTTATTAGTTGATTCTTCTTGGTCTTCTAGTATAGTGGTTTGCTGTAACCGTAAATAGAAAAATTTCTGTTATTCCAAACTTCATCTTCATCTGACATGTTGTTAATCAGTTTTTTTCCTCGAATTCATTAATTCCTCCATGGAATTACATAATTTCACATGGTTCTTGTGCTCATTTCTCTGATCTAGTTATTTCTATTATGACAGCCAAATCTCTATACTCTTGTTATCACACTGAAAGATGCATCGGGGCTTATAATTGATTGTGAGTCATGCCAAGTTGGCTTTCGACAAATATCCAAAGCACCAAAACAGTTGCTTGTCAATGGACAACCAGTTATGATAAGAGGGGTGAACAGGCATGAACACCATCCACGCCTTGGGAAGACAAACTTGGAGTCCTGTATGGTTCGGGTGAGTCTAAATTCTTTCTCCTTATTTGTGACTGCTTCATGCATTTTCATAATTTTGTTCTATCCCTCTGATTTCACGCATGTCTTTTGTTATTATTCTTGTAGGATTTGGTTTTAATGAAGCAACACAATATAAATGCTGTTAGAAACAGCCATTACCCTCAACATCAACGATGGTACGAGTTATGCGATCTGTTTGGCATGTACATGATTGATGAAGCCAATATTGAGACACATGGTTTTCATCTTTCCCGTAATATAAAGCACCCTACACTTGAGCCAAATTGGGCTTCTTCAATGCTAGATAGAGTCGTAGGAATGGTTGAGAGGGATAAAAATCATGCATGCATCATTGCCTGGTCATTAGGAAATGAGGCAAGCTATGGACCTAATCATGCTGCACTTTCTGGTATGTATACATTATCTATAAGGTTTTCTCTTATTTCTTTTTGGCTTGACCTGACCTTATTTTAATTTAACTAAGATGCCCAAATGCATTGTCTTATATTTATGCATGAACGTCATGAAGCTTAATGGTGGTGTCTATTAATCTCCTATGAACAAGCAATAAACTAAAGAATTCTGAGAGAGATTGTATCTTCTTCTATTAATCAAAAAGAATAATACAAACATTATATATAGTGGAGAAGACAAAGATTCCTTCCACTAAGCAAGGGATATAGGAAAAACATACTCCTTAATTTGTTAAAATAAACAAGGAAACCAACCCCTAAATATCGGGTATTATCTAAATTATAGTATAATACAGCTATAATAAAATAATCAATTACACCTTAATTTCCGATAACTAAATCCCATAAATTTTACACTCCCCCTCAAGCTAGGAGATAGATATTAATCATTCCCAGCTTGTTACTCAATTCTTCAAAGTTGTTTTGAGGTAGAGCCTTGGTGAGGACATTGGCAATCTGAAGATGAGTTGGAGTATACAGCAGATTCAAAGTTTCGTTGTCTAATTTTTCTTTAATAAAATGGCGATCAATCTCCACGTGTTTAGTTCTATTGTGATGGAATGGATTTCTAGCAATTCTGATTGCAGCTTGATAGAACATGTTAATTGGTCCACTTGCTATACATAGTTCTTTGAGAAGTCTCCTTAACCAAATACCCTCACAAATTCCATGAGCCATTGTTCTAAACTCAGCTTCGGCACTACTTCGGGCAACCACGTATTGTTTTTTACTACTCCAAGTTACAAGATTTCCCCAAACGAAGGTGCAGTACCCTGTTGTAGATCTTCGGTCTACTATAGAACATGCCCAATCTGCATCCGTGAATACTTCAATCTTTCTGTCAGAGTTTTTCCTAAAGTATAATATGTAAGTTTTAAGAATAAAACTTCATTTTTATTTCCTTGATCGAAAGAGTAATACATACATGTATATGTAGCAAAAGAATTCTATAGAAATCTTAACTATCCTAGAAAATAGAAACAACTTAATAGTCTAACAATAAGATATCTTTCAGATATCTCTCATATTAACAGAATATAAGAGATAAGATCAGATATCTCTCAGATTTATTGAAATGCAAATAAACTTATCCTAACTTTTTGATACTCCCCTCAAGTTGGTGCATAGATATCTATCATTCCCAATTTGCTAATCATATGTTCAAAATTTGCTCTTTGTAGTCCTTTAGTTAGAATATCTACAATTTGTTGAGTGGTTGGTACAAATGGTAAGCAAATAACACCAAATTCAATCTTCTCCTTAATAAAATGCCTGTCGACTTCCACATATTTGGTACTATCATACTAAACTGGATTGTGTGCTATGCTAATGGCAGCTTTATTATCACAGTATAACTTCATAGGAATTTCAATTGGTTTCTTTAATTCTTCCTTAACTTGATTTAGCCATAGAATTTCACAAACACCAAGAGCCATTGCTCGAAATTCAGTTTCTGCACTGCTTCTGGCTACAACATTTTGTTTCTTGCTTCCCCAAGTTACTAGATTACCCTAAACATAGGTGCAATACTCAGATATAGATCTATCAATCACAGATCCAGCTCAATCTGCATCTGTGTAAACTTCAATCCCTCGATGCTCTCTTTTCTTAAAAGAGCCTTAAGGAGCCCTTACTATCAACAAAGAAATACAGTAGAAGAAGTTATGTTAACCTACAACAAAAGCAGTGCCCTTATAGTGGATTCTAGAAGAATCAACTTCTAGGAGAGAAAGACGTGTATATGAGCATGCATTTAACAGGCGAGCGGACACATTGTTCGTGCCCCATACCCATGGGTCACTCACCAAGCGATTCTTGGCTCACTTCCTTTTCCAGGAGTATTTTTTAAGTATCTCAAAATTCTATACACAGCATCAAGAATTTCTTCATATAGAGTATACATAAATTGACTTACCATATTGGCAGCAAAGGTAATATCCAGACGAGTATGAGACAAGTAAATTAACTTTCCTACCAGCTTTTGATATCTAGCCCCTGTTTGTTTTCCATTATTTACTCATTAAAATGTAAAATATGACCGTTATCCATCACATCAAGCCACCATATTTGAAAATCTATCTCTTGTGTGGGGCCCGTAACGACTATATTTTTCATTCTCACTCTTATATTAATGTGGCTCAAACGGGGCCCAGATAGTATCTAATAGAACACCTTCCTTTGTTTCTCCAAGTTTTACATTAGGATCCATTGGAGTCTCCGAAGATCTGCACCCACTCATTCATGTCTCCTTCAACAAGTCTAAGATATATTTTCTTAGCTAAAAGTTCCTTGAGTTTAATCATCTCTTCAGCAAAGTCTCCTGTCAAAACAATGTCATCTACATGCACAATTAAAATAGATGTCTTGTTTGTGGAATGCTTGACAAAGAGAGTATGGTCAGCTTGACATTGAGTGTAACCACAATTTTTTAGAACTTTAGAGAATCGATCGAACCATGCACGTGATGATTGCTTTAATCCACACAAGGATTTCTTAAGTTTGCAAACCCTGTTGGTTGTAGTATGACTTGAAACCAGGAGGGATATCCATGTACACTTCTTCCTCAAGGTCTCCATCGAGAAATGCATTTTTGACATCTAATTGGTAAAGGGGCAAATCCAAATTAGATGCAAGAGATAGGAGAACACGTACTGTGTTTAGTTTTGCAACAGGGGCAAACGTTTTCTGGTAGTCAATCCCATATGATTGGGTGAATCCTTTAGCCATAAGACGAGCTTT